TATATATTGGGGCAGCAACCTAATATCATCAGTGATAGGCAAGAATTTTTTACGAAATACTCTCAAGTCTGTGCCATGCTTGACAATCCTGAAGAGTTGGCCGTGAAAGTTACAATGGATGTCGCTTTCAAAAGTCGAATGATGGGAGATCACTATGCTCGACAAAAGGACAAGAATCGCGCAAATAAAATGTACGCTGAGTGCATCGACTTATTAAACCGACTGGAAACCCTACCATTAAAGAACTTGAACAAAACAGACTGAGATGACAATAACTAGACTTCCGATTCTCTCATTATAAAAATCCGATAATACTTCTGACATTATCTTTTTTTTTGTAAAGTGCACCAGGCTTTTAAAAATCTGGCAACTCAATATAAAAGTAAGCGAATGATTTTTCATCATTTTTTAATCATCGGACAATGTTTCAACTCAGTATCACATATCAATTCCTTCCGGTATCTCATCCACTAATAATAAGGGATAGAACTGGTATTCGGTATAAAAAAAATATATACAAAGTGGAACTTTGAAAATTAAAACCTTGTTAGTGCATAGGGTATGCTGTCAGAACAGCCAAGACCGTTATTTGTTGTTGTGGGCCAAACTTCGACATGCGCTGAGACTGGAAGACAAAACGGTTAGGATCTCTTCTTGATAACAGTAGCTCAGTTGCTCAACACGCAGAATGAAAATCGTTTGTGTTTTTCGAACAGCATAATAGTAGTCGTTTCCTCATACATATGTTTATTTTCTTGCTCGAATATTTAATATTCAGCTTCTGAGGAATTTAATTGAGCAATGTTTGACTGATACATAAAATCGAAAAATCTTTAAATTGTTGACAAAAACTAAGCTATCTCTACTATTACAGTAAATACCTGTACATTTCTATGTGTATTATATAGGCTTCATATCAAAGTGCATTCTAGAAAATGATACTTTAGATGCATTATAATCCTTGAAATATTTTTTGAACAACTCTTTTCACCTTTAGCAATGTATTGTTATGAGTATCTGCTCAAATATTTATTAAGACTTGAAGAACAAATCATTTGCAGATAAATGATAACTACGCATTATTTTGTTGGTTGTAACGAAGCTGAAGTCCTTATTCATACTAATCACAAAGGTTCTCATTATTACTTGAGACTTGTGATGTATGTGTAAGGATAGAGCGAATTCTAAACGTTCTTCCTGTCAATACAAATCGATTTCAACACTTTTTTTCACACAAATAACATCGCACGTAATAAAATACCTCAAATTTTAAATGGGAAGACCTTTTTGAAGTAAACCTACCGAAAACGAACTCTAAGAAAGCTATTGAAAAAAATTTTGCACGCATATAAGGTTATGAACAGTCTCACATTTTCAGTAAACACTTTGACATTTTAGACTAATCTGCGATGCAATTCTTTGATCTGTACGTATATTTTAGATTAGTGAAATTCCTCAAATATGAACCAGCTGCCTGTTATTCTACTCGACCCAAACAATCAACATCCACGCTATGAAAGTGATTATGGTCCTAGGATAGTACATTTTACTGACCGTAATACTTGTATTACGCATATAGCAAATAATATAACACAGCATGAACGAATTGATCTATTTCTCTCTACTATTGATAGAAATATCATCGGGAATGACTTGCCTCTATTCGGTAGGATATACTTTCATCTATACTGTCCCATTAATGATGATATTGCAAGCAATGAAGCTTTATTTCCATCACGTGCATATGTTGAAGTCTTCAAAGAACTTTACTTGTGGATGGCAATCGGTATAGCCATTTATCGACAGGATTTTATGCGTCTTCGAACAACTAACGATCGCAATTCGGTACTTGCAGTATTACGAACCACGACTGAGACAATGTTGGAAGAAGTAGAAGATGTGAAGGCTGGCGTACAATCAGACTGAATAGAATTTTTAATGCATGGCGGTCTCGAAGTTATTTGCCCGAAAAAAAGCAATATCTCTGACATAATTTGCACAGATAAGCTGATTTCTTTCCAGTCCATAATGAAATGTTCGTAGTTCATAGGTATAAAACTTTTACAAAAGAGCTACTTTGAAGTATTACCATTTGTTCCATAAGAAGCTTTGTTTCTAATAACTTACAAAAAAACAATGCTAACGGCTATTAAAAAAATCGACCTCAGGTTTTCCATTAACCTTCATACTAGTATTAGTTAATTTTTAAACTTATAGCATACATATATTTTTATGACTCGGCATATTCTGAAGATTTCAGCCACATAACAAAGATAGTTTGTCTAAAAAAACTATGCGGTTAAATTTTCGAAGTAAACAAAAGACTAAACTTATTCTTTATAGAATTTGGTGACATTTAAAAGTAGAATTTATTTTTCTTATAAATATGAGGTATAAAAATTGCTTTATCCATTTGAAAAAATCAGTCAATATAGTTAAATTGTAGCAGAAATATTTGCTTTTTTTGTTTTGACAAAGTTACTTGTTACGCATCTTTATCTGTGCCAAGAAACGTTTTTACTGTAATTCATTCAATAATTTCAATGATAGTTTAGTAAATCGAAAGTAGAAAACATCAAAGTTAATTGAAAATTTGTGCGACCATGACAAACTCAATCGAAGTGTAGGAATATATCGAAAACTTACAACAAATACTTCGGCTGCTCAAAGAATTTATGCAAAATTCGATTCGAATAAGCCTACACTGTTAACTACAACAATATAAATTTTCTTGACATAGTGGTGTATTCTTTTCTTTTGAAGTCTGCATGTTGCATATTTTAAAGCACAGTTCATCGAGTTTGTCGTTGTCGATAATTAACGAGCTGATAGACAATCGGAAAATAAACGCTGTTCTATTAATGGGAAACAAATATACGATGCAAGCAGGTCTAGCAAAGGAACCATTAAAAAAATGGCGAAACCATGAAATCAATTATACAGCAAATAAGTAAAAACAAAAGTGTTTTGCTCCTTCATGATTCTTTACATTTCACTCAAACGTTTTTGTTGTTGTTTGCTTTCTTGTTTCATTGTAGAAAATCGGGTTCTGTTAGCAAATAATTTTTAATGTGCTGCCGTTATCGGTAATAGTAAAGATACGTTATCGCGAATACGAATGTCTCTTGTTTTTCTACTTGGCAAGAGTAGGGAGAGTGTAGGTGTGAGTGTGGATGTGGATGTGAGATATGGGTGTTTCCTAGACTGAAAGGCTAAGATCTAGAAACCGTATTTCACCTGTGTCTGTTTGTCTGTCTGTCTGTAACAAGTGCTTGGCAGAAATGACCATTTCTATGGCAGAAATGACCATTTCTATGGCAGAAATGACCATTTCTATGGCAGAAATGACCATTTCTATGGCACAAATGACCATTTCTATGGCACAAATGACCATTTCTATGGTACAAATGACCATTTCTATGGTACAAATGACCATTTCTATGGTACAAATGACGATTTCTATGGCACAAAAAAGCTTTTTGGACGCAAATTACGAGTCTACTGACCAAGATATATTTTTACCATAAACCATGATATCGTTTTTGCGTGCATGTATGGAAGAGACGGAAGTGATATAAAAAGCCTTTGTGCTTCATTGAGTTTGAATTCTCAATGTAAAGTTTATGGAGAACAGTAAAAAATATGAGGATGTGTGCATCACGGCGTCTCAAAGGTTTTTTAGCAGTGAAGGAAGGTGATATTATCACACATGAAGCCCATGTTGCGAAAAGAGATATCGTAGAGTGTTTAAATTATGAGCAGTAGAGCATAGTAGGTGATGATACAGTACCATGAAGACAAGGAAACGTTTCGAAATATATCATTTAACGATGCTATCCTAATTGTTTTTAGTTAGAAATAGTATAATGTCAGATTGGGTGCAATAGCTAGAGCGAACGATGAAAGAGTATTTAAAACGATGGCATGAGTAATTTCTTTCGAATATTAGAAACTATAAACCGTGGTCGGACATGAAAAACTTGTAAATAGTGGCAAGAATGAAAGTTCAAATGCCAGACTGGATGATCGACAACATATGAACAGACATATTTGGCTTTAATCAACAGCTGAATACTTAGTAGCAGTCCGTAAGACACGCTTTTTGTTTTCAATTCGGCGGATTCTCTTCAGGTAGTGTTGTGCCCAATGCCTTAAAGTACGTTTGTCGTACCCCTTCTATTCTGTCTGTGTCTTATCGCTGATGTTTTTGATGGAAAATAAAAGAACATGTATGAATCTGATCTCAGTCGAATATACGAAATATTTCGAGTTGCCCGTTCTAAAAGTGAATACACGCAACTATAAGCAAGTATGTCGTTAAAACAAATGGTGTGAGAGAATGTTTTCACTGATTAAAAGATTTTATTATCTGTTAGTTTTATTTCCATTGCTTTTTTCACTGAATCCTTTTACTTCATCTCATCTTGTTACTGTCACTCGAATCAAGTGAAACATTCTTCTCCATAATGAGAATTCGAATGAAAATGTTTGGTACTACAATGTACTAGCAGTTGCATCATTCGTTCAGTCTAGGGCCCAGTGAATCGACTTTTAAAGTCAATGAACTTTACTTGTCTTTATTGACTCTCATATAAACATTTATAAATTCTTTTTGAATATTAAGGATTAATTAATCGATTTAGTTTTAATGAGTCTAAACACACCTGATGATTCATAGTTTAGGCAACTGCCAAAACATGCCGTATGATCTCTTCGAAACTTTGCTTTTCCTATATAAACTCATCCTTAAAACTTAATGCAGAAAAAAAAGTCGATCGTTCTATTATTTTTTGTCTTTCATTCTCTCAGTATGCCTTTCAGAATACAAAATTATAGATAAACAATCATTATCAATGTCTTCATCGAGTAAACCCGAGTAAAAAAAGGGAACGAAAGGTGTTGGTTGTTTACTAAAATTCTCTTTCGTTCTGTATATAGCGTTTAAAAAAATCGAACTCGATTTTATATTGAGCAAACAGAATGATTCTTGTATGTGATTTTTAGGAAAATAACACAAAAAATTGTCTTTGGTATTGTTCATCTAGTAGTCCACTATGACAACTGTTTTTTACACCAAGTAACTGAGAACAATTTGGACAATAATGAGCTGTATCCTATCAACAAGATAGAAATGAGTTATATGTGTATCAAGGTTTCCTATGTCTTACTTTGCAATCATCCACACAAAACGGAATAAGCCAACAACCGAGCCAGCAACCAAGAAGAAAAAGACCACCGAAAAACAGCCAAGTTAAAAGACCATTTTCTTTTTCTGTTCGAGTCGTAATCGGTTGCTGACATCTCGGACATACGCATTGTACCGGATGGTTGCTAGGAATGAAGGTTGGAGTTCCAATGAACACCGGCTGATCCATGATCAGTTCTGGTGGTGCTGTTTGATAGTTGTTGTAAACTTGTGCATCTTTCACCAGAATAAAAATATAAGGAGAATTTTTTATTTAGAAATAGATTTACTGTATGATGGTGGCGGTGCAACACTCATTTTATTTTGATGTACTAGTGATGAAAAATTCAAATCTAAATGAATCTTGCACAATTGAAATTCCTTTTTCTAAGTTTCCTGTGTTCGAATACTCTGTGACGGCCGTTGAATTAATATAATTTTTATTTGTCGACGTATTGCAGTTCTATGAAATATATGCAATATTTTTGTTCGATTCGTTTATAATTATAAAAACATCGTTATGATGATAAAAAGAAAGAGCAAGAAATAGTTTATTGACTAATAACTGAATGAAAAATAAGTTAAAAAAATAATTAACAAGTAACACGACGTAAGCGTCGCTAACCCTCTACTGAAAGGAACTATGCCGCCGTGCATACCCTGTGTGAATAAAGAGCTATGGACCTACTATTCTCACGTATGCTCAAAGGAACAAAAATTAACGGAACAGTCAATGGATATATATGAATTCGATAAAGTTTCTAAAACGATCCAAGAAGTGTAGACCAGTCAAAAAGAAAATTTTCACACATCAATCGGTGAGTTATTCTCAACCAGCATTAACAGAGTATTGACAGTCACTAATTGTTCATATGGGCAAAACAGCCAACGTTATTGATAAGAAACTTTCTTATTTTCATATTTCTGCTATGCTTCAGCGATACTTTTTCGGCTTCCGTTAAAAATATATGATCAAAATCTGTTGGAAGTATACGAGAACGGCTATATATAGCTTGTCACATTTTTCAGCTCAAATATTGGATAAGTTATGTCAAAAATGAGTTAATCTTGATGTAAATTATTTTTAACTGGATACTCCTCATGACTAGACAATAACAGTCAAGTTAAGTTCGAGGTTTGGCGGCTCTCCGCTTCCCTCCCCATTACAGACACTTAACAACAGGAAAGAGAACATTACAGACATACCCTCCATTACAGACAGGCCCCCATTACGGACACCCCCTCCCCATTACAGACGTTACCAATCGAGAATAACAGGCATCAAACTTTCTATAGTTCTTTGCAGAATCGATCAAGTTAGAATTTTGAAAGATAATCAACATCATTATTTGTGAGTTGATTAATATATATAATAGTGCATAAGATCGGCTGTAGATATAATCGATATGTACAACAGACGTGTTTGCCAATTAATTCAATGATTATAATAAAAAAAATATAAAATTAAGACAGAAAAAATTGCGAAAAATGAGAAGTACGGAACGAATAGCAACAATGAAAACGAAAAATAAGGGCACGTGTCAGAAGATAAAAAAACTTAGAAATTCATGATTTTATGCTTTCTATATTTGATATTAGTATAATTAAGCTGAAGAACATATGTGAGTTACACATTTCAGTCCCAAAGGGGCTGCGCTAAGAAGCTTTTTATTTAGACTTCGCCTAATCTCAAATTCAGCTTCATTTGAAAAAATATTAGATCTGTAGCACGAGAATTCTCGATGGCAATTTCTAAACCAAAGCGTCATTGTGAACTATTTCTGATTTCTTTAATTTCATTCTGTAACTGAAAAAGCAGAGTTTTATTGAAATTTCTCATTAAGGAAATATTAGTGCAGCATTCTCAAAAAAATCTAGCTTTTATACTTATCTTACGTGAGCGAAATCTGCAGAATGGTTGCAAGATGAACCATTAGTCATTCGTTTTACATTAGTGCACTTGTACAAGCAGTTAGTTTATTGTTCATTTAACATAAAAGATATGGCATTGTTTTTATACATCAATTTTTTA